CCTCTCAGCCCAGCTCTGCAGCTTATCTATGTCCCTCTGTAACCTGCAATATCCTTCCGCACTATCCACAACTCCACCAACTTTGGTGTCATCCGCAAACTTACTAACCCATCCTTCTACGCCCTCATCCAGGTCATTTATAAAAGTGACAAACAGCAGTGGCCCCGAAACAGATCCTTGAGGTACACCACTAGTAACTGAACTCCAGGATGAACATTTCCTATCAACCACCACCCTCTGTCTTCTTACAGCTAGCCAATTTCTGATCCAAACCGCTAAATCACCCTCAATCCCATGCCTCCGTATTTTCTGCAATAGCCTACCATGGGGAACCTTATCAAACGCTTTACTGAAATCCAAATACACCACATCAACTGCTTTACCCTCATCCACCTGTTTGGTCACCTTCTCGAAGAACTCAATAAGGTTTGTGAGGCACGACCTACCCTTCACAAAACCGTGTTGACTATCCCTAATCAAATTATTCCTTTCTAGATGATTATAAATCCTATCTCTTATAATCCTTTCCAACACTTTACCCACAACCGAAGTAAGGCTCACTGGTCTATAATTACCAGGGTTGTCTCTACTCCCCTTCTTGAACAAGGGGACAACATTTACTAGTCTCCAGTCTTCTGGCACTATTCCTGAAGACAATGACGACATAAAGATCAAAGCCAAAGGCTCTGCAATCTCCTCTCTAGCTTCCCAGAGAATCCTAGGATAAATCCCATCCGGCCCAGGGGACTTATCTATTTTCACACCTTCCAGAATTGCTAACACCTCCTCCTTATGAACCTCAATCCCGTCTAGTCTAATAGACTGTATCTCAGTATTCTCCTCGACTACATTGTCTTTGAAATGGTTCGTGACTGGGAGGTGCAGTTGTTTAGTGCAAGCTGAGCGCAGGTGTTCCATAAAGCAGTCCCCAAGCCTCCGTTTGGTTTCCCCGATGTAGAGGAGGCCACAACGGGTACAGCGGATGCAGTATACCACATTAGCAGATGTGCAGGTGAACATCTGTTTGATGTGGAAGGTCTTCTTGGGGCCTGGGATGGGGGTGAGGAGGGAGGTGTAGGGGCAGGTGTAGCACCTCCTGCGGTTGCAGGGAAAAGTGCCGGGTGTGGTGGGTCTGGAGGAGAGTGTTGAGCAGACAAGGGAGTCACGAAGAGAGTGGTCCCTCCAGAAAGCAGATGAGGTTGGGGAGGGAAAAATGTCTTTGGTGGTGGGGTCGGATTGCAGATGGCGGAAGTGCCAGAGGATGATGCGTTGGATCTGGAGGTTGGTGGGGTGGTACGTGAGGATGAGAGGGATTCTGTTTTGGTTGTTATTGCGGGGAGGGGGTGTGAGGGATGAGTTGCGGGAAATGCGGGAGGCACGGTTGAGGGCGTTCTCGACCACTGAGGGGGCAAGTTGCGGTCCTTGAAAAACGTTCGGGAGTGGAATGCCTCCTCCCTCCGGAAAACAGTTCCTACTATCTCTTCCCATAGCTGTACCTGCTATAAGATAAGCCCTATCAGGAACCAACATGAATAGGTCCTGAGCCATTTGTTCACCATGCAAGTTTGATGCTGGAAAGGGCTCATTAAAGCTATTCTGCTGGATAATACCTATCTCAGTCAAATCACTGCACACTGTATGTTGCACAAATTCATGAATCAGCATAAGGCCAGCACTGCCAGTCCTGAAAAGTGCTCTGTGTATCTCAAGTTACCCTGGAAGGGAGAGGTGACTCCAACATCTGAACAACAAGCCAATGTACACTGTTACTAGGCTTTAGCAACATAAGTGGTGTTTTCTACTAACAGGATGCTGCCTTCAAGCCGAAAGGAGATTCTGCCTACCACACAAATGAGTAATGTGGTGTTTAAATGTCAGTGTCAGTGCAATTCCATGTACGTAGGTCATATATCCCGACAACTGATGGATTGAGTCATACAGCATATCTCTTAGGCTGTTCAAAACAGACTGAGTACTGACCAGAGTACAAGCCCCAGCTGGCAAAGCTCAGAGAACAACGTACAACATTAGATATGATGCTGTGAGTTATTGAATGATCCTGAGGGTACTAATTACACTAACAACCTCGGAATGATTATCAGTTGGCTCAGGGTGGGCTCACCTACACTTGCTAGACATTACATTTACAGGTCCCCTATGTTCTGCAAAAATACACACCCTTTATCCAGGCTTTGCAGCTATTCCCTTGTGTATTCTCCACAGCAAGATCTTGACTAATCAGAGCCGATTTGCCAACCAGTCAACACCCTTTTTCTCCTGCAGTAAAAATTATTGTTCTCCTTAATATTTCACATTCTTGCACCTGTCCTAATGATTATGAGATGAAAAGCTTCAAGGGTATGTGTCCTTCTTAAGCCCTACTCAAGTTCTGTACAACAGGCACCAATTTTCCTTCTTTTGCATTTTAAAATTAACACTAATTAATGCATATTAACATTAACATTAATTTTGATTGGACAAAGCTGATGATTTTATGTTTGCTACATTAGGTTAACCATCAATGCGGAATGCTATCTTCAGCTTCATGACTTTCCTATGGATCATCATTCCTGTCCCCTGGAATTCTCAAGCTGTAAGTGTTGCATAATGTGCGTCTTTATTTCTAATACAAAATAATTTGGGATATAAATAATACTATAATAAGAGCAAATTACTTGGTAGGTGCATCAAGTAATCGATAGGCCATTAACTTCACTACATAATGGCCTAAAAGAATTAAATGGTGCATTGTAGCCTTGTTGTGTGCAATGATCCTTCAAGGCACCATTAGTCAAATGCAGCTTTATTGTTTGAATATGTTAGTTCACTTCATGCTGGCCTTTTACTTATGACAAAGTAACCTACCTAAACCAGTAATTTGCAAACTACACAGCAGTGGTAAAAACTGATAAAGATTATTTTCAAATAGTTTGCATAAAACTCTTTCCCCTGTTATTTGACATAAATATTTTAACAATTTTGTTCAGTTTCTAGAAACTGATTTTGTTTCACCTTGAGTCATGTGAACAAATCTTTTTAATAATATATTATTGAGATGATTTAATCAATTCTAGATTCTTGGAGGTTAAATATGTTGCATTTAGTGTTTTGGCAAAACCAGAATGACAGCATGGCTCCAGCACAGAAGAAGGCCATTCAACCCATCAAAGTTGATCATGTGAAGCAGCAATTCACTTAGTTCCATTCTCTGCCTTTTCCCCATCTCAGATAAGATGACCAAAACTGCACACAGTAGTCCAGTTGCAGTTTCACCAAGCTTCTGTAAAACTGAAGCAATACTTCATGACTTCTGCACTCCACTCCTCTTGTGATAAAGGCTAACATTCTATGATCCTTTCTATGAGGGTGGCACAGTGGCTCAGTGATTAGCACTGCCTCACAGCGCCAGGGACACAGGTTTCATTCCAGCCTTGGGTGACTGTGTGGAGTTTGCACATCCTCCCTGTGTCTGCATGAGTTTCCTTTGGGTGCTCTGGATTCCTCCCACAGTCCAAAGATATGCAGGTTAGATGGATTGACCACGGTAAATTGCTCATCGTATCCAGGGATATGCAGGTTAGGTGGGTTAGCCAAGGAAAATGCAGGGTCACAAGGATAGGGCAGGGGTTTGGGCCTGGGTGGGATGCTCTTTGGAGGATTGGTGTGAACTCGATGGGCCGAATGGTCTGCTTCCACACTGTAGGGATTCTGAGTTTGCTGCGCCTGCACATTAGCTTTCATTGACTTCAGTGCAATCATATCTAGAAGCACAACAGGGTTAGGGGTGGGTGGGAGACAGTGATCTGTTTGTAAACTTGCAATCACTGCCACAGAAGTATGACAAAACCAATTTGCAGTGCCTGGCTTTAACCCAAGTGGGAAGGATGGTGGTTCTGCTGGACTTGGAGGGTCAATTTCTTTTGCTGCTATTGATTTGGGAACCTAGCTGGCAGGAAGGAAGGACAGTGTGTCAGAGAATGAAGCATTACGCATTGTACCAAAAAAGACATGAAATGGGAGTGGTGTCCTCACACATTGGCACCATTAATACAAATGAGGTGGTAGAGGCAAAGGAGTGGGTACCAGGAAGGAGGATGAAGAGGGCAATTAGAAATAACCTTCGGGTCATCTCAGGTTTCAGATTTAGTTTAATTGTATGACTTAATTTAATTGAAAGAATAGGCTGAGTTTGTTTTGAGAAAACTAACATAAAAGTTTATTGTTAATTTTACAAGCAATGCAGGTACAAGTATGATTTCACATGTTTCACGGACTTTTTAAAATTAAGCACAATAAGTGGAAAGGAATAATTCTTAATAAAGCAGTGATTTTCAATTAACTCACTTGAGGACAGCAGCTTATGACTTCTGGCTGTCTGGCCATATGTCTCTCATTTTGTTCTGTTGACTGATAGAGTCATAGAGTTATACAGCACAGAAACAAATCCTTCAGTCCAACTCGTCCATGCCAATCAGGTATCCTAATTTGAACTAGTCACATTTGCCTGCATTTGGCCTGTATCCCTCTAAACCTTTCCAATTCAAGTACCTGTCTAAATGCCTTTTAAATGTTGTAATTGTACTCGCCTCTACCACTTTCTCTGGCAGCTCACCCTCTGTGTGAAGAAGTTGCCCCTCAGGTCCTTTAAAACATTTCCCCTCTCACCTTAAACCTATGCCCTCTAGTTTTGGACTCCCCTACCCTGGGGAAAAGACCTTGGCGCTTCATCTTATCTAAGCCCCTCACCATTTTATAAACCTCTACAAGGTCAGCCTCTGTTCCAGGGGAAGAAGTCCCAGACTGACCAGGCTCTCCTTGTAACCTAAACCCTCCAATCCCAGCAACATCCTTGTAATTTTTTTCTGTGCCCTTTCTAATTTAACAACATCCTTCCTATAGCAGGGCGACCAGAATTGAGCGCAGTATTCTAAAAGTGGCCTCACCACTGTCTTGTACAGCTGCAACATAACATCCCAATTCTTGTACTCAATGCTCTGACCAAGCATGCCAAAAGCCCCTGTCTACCTGTGATGCCACTTTCAAGAAACTATAAATCTTCACCCCTCGGCCACTCTGATGTTCCATTTTTTTTCTGTGTACTGGATTGCTGAGCATTGTGTGCCAAATTTATGTTTACGTTCTTGAGAGTGATGCTTATCTTACTTATATTACTTTCTATGATCTCCTGACTGGTTGCATCCCTTGAGATGTCAGTTACTTGTGTCAATATTTCTTTTGTTATAACTTAGTAAACTAACTTTATAGATCACTACCAAAATGAATCACCACCAGAGTAATTTGTTGTCCACTTTGAAGATATATAACGTCATTTACTAATGATCAACATTGCCCAGAGATGCCTCAACTGATTCATCCAAATATTCTGGAAGATTCCATGGCCTGTCAATTTCATTTAGTTAAAGGAAACACTTAGTAAGTTAACCAAAGTCATTATTGAAGGACAACTATAGTTTTTGTTCTCCAAGAGAGTGTCACAATATCATGAATCAAACCCTATAACTGTATTGAAGTGTGTTTCACAGTAGGTAACGAAGTATCATTGCAAGACACAGCAAATTACAGAAATGTCAAAGCTAATTCGAATTTCAAAGTAATATATTTGCATATGCCAGTTTCATACATTAACTATTTTCCATTTAAAACAATTAATTTACAAGCTAAACCAATATAGGACATTGTTGCAACCATTCAACCATAAAAGTGGTCCCTTTCAGCATTTGTTTATTTTGATTCAAGGCTAAATTACACCTTCCACTAAACACAGAAATACGGGTGTATTTTGACAGTATGGTATTGTACTGACCACACTTGAGCTAAATGGGACTTAATTCTTCATTTGGTGAATCAGGTCAGAATAACTAAATGAAAACTAATTGTTGAAACTAAACTTAATCCTAAAGTAAGAATATGCTGACCATGAAGGCCGTTTCTAAATATGACTGAAAACTAATGCAGAAGGTGGCTGAAGCTAACCTGAGAAATGGTAATTGACATATATCACTCTATGGAGCAACATCTTGTATTACAGTCTTACCTCTTCATACCTGCCAGTGGCTCTAAAATGTTATCATAACTCTGAATTTATGTATCAGGCTCTTTCTATTGCTGAGGGAATCAATAATACACAACTGAGCCAATTGAACTTTGCTCCACCTTTGAAGGGTTTCTCTGCAAAGTAAAATAAGAATCAGAGGCCTTCATGATGTTTCAATTATTTGACATTTTCTTCTTTGATCCCATGTCAAACCAAAATGGTGTCAGCACTGCTGCTGCAAACATCAATACTCCAGTCTGATCCTCGTCAGGCCTCTTGAGTGAGTACAGCGGTGATCGGAAACCCTGTCAAGGTGGAGGCACCAATTGATCTAGTGTGCTTCTTGGTCAAGAACCATTGTTTAGACCATAATACTGTCAGAAATCGGAGCAGAATTAGGCCATTCAGCCCATCAGGTCTGCTCCTTTCGATCATGGCTGATATTTTCTCTGCGCCATTCTCCTCCCTTCTCCCTGTAATGCTTGATCTCCTTACTAATCAAGAACTTATTTATCTCTGTCTTAAATATGCTCAAGGGCTTGCCCTCCACAGGCTTTTGTGGCAATGAATTCCACAAGTTTGCCATCCTTTGGCTGAAGAAATTCCTCCTGATTTGATTTGATTTATTATTGTCACATGTACTGAGATACAGTGAAAAGTATTGTTTTGCATGCTAACCAAACAAATCGTACCTTATGTAAGTACATCAGGGTGATAGAACAGAATGCAGAAAATATTGTTACAACTACAGAGAAGGTCCAGAGAAAGATCAATTCGTTCATAAGTCTGATAATAGCAGGGAAATATGTTGAGATGTGTTTTCAAACTTTGTATTTTTTGCCAGTGGAAGAGAGTATACCTGGAATGGGAGGGGTTTTTGATCATGTTGGGTGCTTTCCCGAGGCAGCGGGAAGTGTAGGCAGAGTCAACGGGAGGAAGGTTAGTTTTCGCGATGTACTGGGCTGTGTTCACAATGCTAACTAATGTCTTGCAGTCTTGGGCAGATAGATAGGATGCTTTCCATGGTGCATCTATAAAAGTGGGTCACTGTCATTGTGGACATGCTGAATTTCATTAGCCGTTTGAGAAATGATAGGCGTTGGTGTGCTTTCTTGATTGTCGCATTGACGTGAATGGACCAAATTAGATTGTCAATAATGTTTACTCCTAGGAACTTGAAGCTGTTAACTATCTCCACCTCAGCACAATTGATACAGACAGGGGCAGGTTCTCCACTCCACTTCCTGAAGTTGATAACCAGCTCCATCATTTTGCTGACATTGAAGGAGAGACTGTTGTCTTTACACCATACCATTAAGCTGTCTGTCTGTTTCTTGTACTCTGTCTCTTTGTTGCTTGAGATCCGACCCACTAAGGTAGTGTGATCAGCAAATTTGTAAATGGAGTTAGAGCTGAACTTGGCCACATAGTCGTGATTCTATAAGGAGTATAGTAAGCAGCTGAGTACACAGCCTTTGTGGACACCGATGTCGCGGATTATCATGGAGGAGGTGTTGTCGCCTATCCTTACTGATTGCGGTCTGTGGATCAGGAAGTCAAGGATCCTCATCTCACTTTAAAAGGGTAATCCCTTCACTCTGAGGCTATGTCCTCAGGTCCTAGTTTCTCCTACTTGCAGGAACATCTCACACTCACTCTATCCAGGCCTCCCAGTACTTTGTAAGTTTCAATGAGATCTCCCCTCATCAACTACAGACCCAGAGTCCTCAAATGTTCCTCATAAGACAAGCCTTTCGTTCCCATGATCATTTTTGTGAACCTCCTGTGGACCCCCTCTGAGGTCAGTACATTCTTCCTCAGATACAGGGCCCAAAATGCTCTCCATATTCCAAGCGTGATCTGACCAGAGCCTTATACAGCCTCAACAGTACAGCCCTGCCCTTGTATTCTAGCTTTCTCAAAATGAATGAAAACATTGCATTTGCCTTCCTTATTGCCAACTGAACCTCCATGTTAACCTTATGCAAATCCTGAACTAGGACTCCCAAGTCCCTTTCTGCTCCACATTCTGAAGTCCATTTTGAAAATAGTCTATGCCTGAATTCTTCCTACTATAGTGTATCACCTGATATTTTCCCACATTGCATTCCATCTGTCATATCTTTGCCTACTCTCCTAACCTGTCCAAGACCTTTTGCAGCCTCCTTGCTTCCTCAACACTTCCTGTCCCTCCACCTTTGTGTCATCTGCAAACTTAGCAACAAAGCCCTCAGTTTCTTCGTCCAGCATTTTCCATTGTTCCATCCAGCTGCAGTCGGCTGTTGTTGGGCTCCAGTAACGGTGAATTGGTCAAAATACCTTTTATGGGTGTTTTTCTGGACTACGTTCTGCTGGGCTGAAGTCTTTTCACTTTCCCACCTTCAACAAGATTGCATGTGATCCCTCAAATATGCTGGTACTATGTATTAGGGCCATGAGCAGAGTCTAGGAGACTTAGAATTCTGGAGCTCACATTGCTTCTGGGGACTCTGCCAGATGTCCACACATCTGCTGCCGATTCGACAAATTCTATGTCGCTAACAGTAACCCCAAGGTCCCACATTGCTGCCTATTGGAGCAACATTGTGACATCTGCCTTCCACTGAGAAGAATTGTGCATAAATACATCAGACTTTGATACCTCCTCATACACTCCAGTGTGGTTGCATTCACTATGTGCCATAACATCAAAACATGTGTAACATCCATCCGATGAGGTGGTGCAGTGTGAGCTGCTCTGATGTGGCAGTGCCTTCTTGAATATCTGTTTATCCTCCAGATTTCTGAGGGATGATCTGACCTGGTTGAAGAGGGTGTGTGACTGGTAGAGCTAGGACCTGTGTGAGATAAAAAAAAAGAAAGTTTTTAGGTAGAGACCTTCATATTTTTCTGATGCAGCTATCCCAAACTGCCCTATAATACAACCACATCCTGGCACTGCCTCTTATGTCAATGCCCCCTTGTGTTCATCAGCATGGCTTCCACCATTATGACCATGTATTGAAGTGACTTTACCATCACTTTAAGTACCCCTGTGTGGGCAATCTGCCACTATTCATCAGTGACCCAGTCAAATAGACACCCAGCTACCTTGATAGTCTCTTCCATTCTATCAGTCATAGATTTATGGACCCACCCCCATATTGACAGGAGCAGATTGCATACACATGCCCTCATGCTAAAACAGAGCTATGTACCAGACCTTGCCCCATAAAGCTGCAGCATGCAGTTATGAACCATCACTTGGATTTCTATGTGCTTCTACTGAGCACCCCACCTTATCAGAACATAGCAGAGAGTAAAATCACTGCTAGCACATCTGTAATCTTTAATATTCACCAGCAGTGCTAAGCACTTGTAAAATCCCTGTCTATATTTGCTTTGTGGTTGCTGGAATGTTATACTGGCTAGCTCGATGTAGGATGTCTCTCCTCTGCATTTCCTCCACCAGAATCTAGAGATCCAAATTGCTAAACATGGAATCGGAATCTCCCATTCCTTCCACATTGTGAGCTCTGAGGGATATTCCAGCAATACAAATTTAAAGCAAAAAGGTTTTGAGGCATGTAGTCTGCTTGGCTGTCTAACACATTTGTGCATTTTCATGAATTAGCCATTTTTTCCATCTCATCAGTAAGTATTTGAGATGGTACTTGGGGTGGGTAGTGGGAAGGAAATGGCTTCCTACAGATGCCATGCATTTTGCTGCTATCACTCCCTGATGCTGTATTCCAGCTAGAATAACCCTATGGAACAGCTGTTCTGCTGTTCCTCTGTGCCAGCTGACAGGTAACTGATCAAAGGTGAAGTGAGTGGATGCACTTCAGTAGATGAGTGATAAGGGCACAAAGGTCCGTGCCACTTGCACTGTGTATCATAAATCCCCCATGGCATGATAATAACCTGTGTTGATACAGATTATCATTAGCTGCCATTAGTGCCAAGATGTGGCCATATGGCTTGTTTGTAATGCCTCTCCATGTCTTTGTGTTTTAATGTGCTGCTTCTGTACAATTTGAATAAGCAGCAACAATGACTGTTTTACCATATTAGATGCACGTTAGGTCATCAGATCCAGGGAAGGCAAGCAGTTGGACAACATTTAGAGATTTGATATACACTTAATTCCTCAGCGGCCAAGACACAGTCACAACAGCGTCAACTTCCTGGTCCACAGATGGATGATTTTACTCACATTTTTTAAAATGTGATTGAATTGCCCAACTAATGCTGCGCTTAACTTTGCCTCTATTTACTTATGGGGTTAACGTGTCCAGTTCCTCTTACACCCTCCCACCACACCACTTCCCTGGTCACTGTCTCCCAATTCTGGTTTTTAGACCTGCAAATTTTCCCAAATCTGCATTGCTGACCCACTAAGAAAATTTATGCCATGTTTCCTGAGCAATACTCAAATACAAGGTAAACCCATTGAAGCATGGATTGCAGTTTAACTTTGTTTCAATTGCAGAACTTATTTGAATCTCTAGAAGTAAAGGTTTAGTGAGGCTTTGAGAAATTGTAAACTCAGTTCCATATATTGTCCCAGTCGTTCATCTGAATGTCCATCGTACGTTTTAAAGGATTTAGATTTTTACTGCCTTAGGCATTAATGGTGAAGGAAATTGCTTGACCATTAAAGAAAGTGTCAATAATCCACTTCATTCATTCACTGATGAAGATTAAAATGTGACTGCGTGACAAAATGTCAGGCAAGTTTTTTAGATAACAAGGTGTAGAGCTGAAGAAGGGTCGAGACCCGAAACGTCAGCTTTCCTGCTCCTCTGATGCTGCTTGGCCTGCTGTGTTCATCCAGCTCTACACCTTGTTATCTCAGATTCTCCAGTATCTGCAGTTCCTACTATCTCTGAGGCAAGCTTTTTTACTTGCTCCTTCTGGAGAAACAGAGACGTTTCATTTTCATCATGAAGACTTTGCTTCCAAACAACACTAGTCTATAGGTTTGATATAGGTTATATTCACTATGACAAGAATAGGCTGCATTTGTTTTGACATATCTCCATCTATTGGCATTAGCCCTGAAAGTTTGTTAAATGAAAGAACCAACCCTGTCTTTCATTAGGGTTGTCAGAAAATCAGGCTGAGCCCTACAAAAACTTAGGCTCATTGTTTTAATGAAGAAAGACACTTAATTATCTTAAATTACAATAACCTTTTACTGAAATGTAAAGCTGGCTGATGTGCAGTGTGACAAGCCACATTGAATTGCCACGATCCTGATTGGAGTTAAATAATTCAAATAACTTTGGTCACCTGGGAGAAGCTAGTGAATAGTTGTATAAGACTTTCAAAGCCTTTCATTGACCTGCTTAGCCCCAAATCTAGACCTAAAGAGGAACAGATTTTATTTCTCTTTCAAATTGTTTGACATCAGAGCCTGATATAAGATTCCTAGAGTAAGTGCCAGAAGTCACTAAGGTGATCATTTTGCTGGTCAACAGATTTCAGTGTATCTGCCACTGCACTTCATTTGAGTTATGCCTTTGAGCCAACCAAACTCAAGCAGAAAATCTAAACTAATCTGTCCACTGACTACAGGCAGTTGCTTTTGAAGTAGACTTTTGAAGTCAGTATGAGTTAATGTCTTTTTTCTTCTATTTCTCATAAATTTCCTTTGCAGATGGATACCCAAAAAATGAAATTGTGTATCGCTGGAAGAAAGATCCAGTTGAAATTGCTCATCAAAAGCATTGGCGACTTTATCAATTTGCATTTGATGGATTCAGGAACACAACTGATGTAATGCACACCCAGTCCGGTAAGACAACACTACTGTTTCAGGAAAAATGTTAAATGTCATACAGCAAATTTCCATTTTTTTTATGCTAAGTGTGATTACATTTGCATCAAATGATAAAGTACGATAAAAGGTAATTCCTTTGGTACCTGTCTTTGTAAGTATGTAGTCAAAGTGTTGCATTATATGATGAAATCCAAAAACAGGCCAATTTATTATCTAGGGATAGTAGGAACTGCAGATGCTGGAGAATCCGAGACAACAAGGCGCAGGGCTGGATGAACACAGCACGCCAAGCAGCATCAAAGGAGCCTTTCTGCTCCTATGATGCTGCTTGGCCTGCTGTGTTCATCCAGCCCTGCACTTTGTTGTCTCCAATTTATTATCTAGTTGATACTGAATTATTGCAGCTAAACTGACAGTAGGATTCCCATAATTCAGCAGACTAGCTAATCTAGAGTCTGAAATCCTTTTTGTTCATTCAATGGGGAACCTGCTAGACTTGTGTGTCAAGAAAGCATCAGGTTCAGCTTGAGGATTTAATCAGTGTGAAAACAGCAATGCTCATACTGTTGAAATTCACTCTCAGAAAAACCACGGCTTGTCAAACTACTAAAGGTAGCTGGCACCTGTGAAACAATATTTAGCACGTGCTAGTACCATCAAATTATTTTAAGACATTAAACTCACAAACATAAGGAGAGTTGAAGAGTACAATCAAGCGGTGTGTAAAATCAGCATTACACCCGATAATGACAACATCCAAGCGTGTGGGTTCGGCTAAGCACTTAGTAGTACCAAATATAGAAGTGGCCATTGCTGAAGCTGCCACATGGAGGAGCGGGCACCTCCATGCCAGGCTGCCCTCTAAGACAAGTTAGGTTTTGTTGAGCCTGCCAGTGCTTGACAGTCTGGTTGGAATGGGGGCGTATTTCAATGATAGCACCTCAACTGCAGGCTCAGTCATTACCATTGAATGGTGTGATCATAATGGAGACTTCCACCCCAAGTAACATACTGGGCAACAACCAGGGTTAATGCTGGTGTCCCCAGTTGGCTGCAGACACTCTCAGCTTGGGCAAAATGTTGGAGTGTGGTTCAGGAGGACAGCATTCACCCTCCCACTACTGCTGCTCAGCTGGTGTCTTCCCTGCCACCTGACAGCCAGTAACTTTAGCTCTTGCTGTGAGATGATGTGGAGGTGCCGGTGTTGGACTGGATTGATGAGGAATTTTCTAAATTCCTGCTTTGGAAATAAAACCAGTCTGACTCCACATTAAAACGCAGTTTCTAAACAAGGCCTCACACCAAAAGGCATTGTCTGACCTGAGATGTCATCTCTTGTATTCATTGATAAAACCTATAGTTATCTCGGGACATTAACCTGAAAGAAATTCGGAGACTTGCGTATTAATCAATTGAAACCTGCATCGCCTTTCTAACTGATTAAGGATTTAAAGGGGAGAATCAGCCAGCCATTTTAGGATTATTAAATACATTCTCATTAGTTGTATAATCCTTTGATCTTTTGCTTATAAATTCTGTGTCTTGATGCTTCCTCTCTCATTACACCTGAAGGAGGGACAATGCTCCGAAAACTTGTTCGATTAAACCTGTTGGACGATAACCTGGTATCATGTAATTTTTGACCTTGCTGTGACAGACAAGTTAGTGCAGTTCATGGTCTGGCCTTTCAGAGCTGTTGCCTAGGCCACGCTGCAAAGGGAACTGTAGAAATTGAACCTGGAGTAGTGGATATAACCAGTGAAGACAAAGCTGCTTGGATACGTTAGACAATCAGCGCTGCAGGAGTCTGTGCCTTTCCAGGCAGATGGCCGCCGTGATTTGCGTCTTTGTAGTGCAAAGAAACATCCATCTATTTTAATCTCATTTTCCAGCAATTGGCCTTGTTTGCTATGATGTTTCAAGTGTTCATCTAAATAGTTCTTAAATATCTTAATCATTCCTGTCTTTACCATCCTTTCAGACAATGAGTTCCAAATATCTACAACTCTAGAGATAAAAACAAAATCACCAAATCCCCTTTAAACTTCCTGCTCCTTACCTTAAAACTATGTCCCTTGATTATTTACTTCTCTACTAAGGGGAAACATTTCTCCCTATTTACATTGTCTATGGTCCTCAATACCTTGTACACACCAATCAGATCTCCCTCAGCCTTCTCTGTTCCAGAAAACAACTCCAGTCCCAGCCCAGGCAATATCCTGGTGAATCTCCTGTATATACTCTACATCCTTCCTATAGTGTGGTGACCAGAAATGTGTACAGTACTCTAGTTGTGGCCTAGCTAACATCATAGACAACTCCATTATAACCTCACTCTGCTTGAATTCAGTGCCTTGACTAATGAAGCCAAGTATCCCATATGCCTTCAAGGATCTATGAACATACACACCAAAGTCCTCTGTATTTCTGAGGGTATTATCAATCAAAGTGTAGTCCTGTGCCTTGTTAGTCTTCCCAAAATGCATCACCTCACACTTTTCATGATTAAATTCTATTTACCACTGTTCAGTCCATCTGACCCACCTACCTGTATTGTCACTGTAGTCTAAGGCTTTCCTCCTCACTATTAACCACATCACCAATTTTAGTCTCATCTCAAGTCTTCTTTAGTCTCTTCTCTGAAGATCCAATTCAAGAGTGAACTGTACGGTAAATGGAAAAGCCCCGGGGAAAATTGATGCACAGAGAGATCTGGGTGTTCAGGTCCATTGTACCTTGAAGGTGGCAACGCAGGTTGATAGAGTGGTCAAGAAGGCATACGGCATGCTTTCATTCATCGGGCGGGGTATTGAGCACAAGAGTTGGCAGGTCATGTTACAGTTATATAGGACTTTGGTTCAACCACATTTGGAATACTGCGTACAGTTCTGGTCGCCACATTACCAAAAGGATGTGGATGCTTTGGAGAGGGTGCAGAGGAGGTTCACCAGGATGTTGCCTGGTATGGACGGCGCTAGCTTTGAAGAGAGGTTGAGTAGATTAGGGTTATTTACATTAGAAAGATGGAGGTTGAGGGGGGACCTGATTGAGGTCTACAAAATTATGAGAGGTATAGACAGGGTGGATAGCAAGAAGTTTTTTCCCAGATTGAGGGAACTCAATTACCCGGGGTCACGATTTCAAGGTGAGAGGGGAAATGTTTAAGGGAGATATGCGTGGAAAGTTCTTTACGCAAAGGGTGGTGGGTGCCTGGAACACGTTGCCAGCGGAGGTGGTAGAGGCGGGCACGATAGCAGGGAGCAGAGGGATACAGATCCTTGGAAAATAGGTGACAGGTTTAGATAGAGGATCTGGATCGGTGCGGGCTTGGAGGGCCGAAGGGCCTGTTCCTGTGCTGTAATTTTCTTTGTTCTTTGTTCTTACTAATCATACCTCCTACATTAATGTTTAGATCATTCAACAACAAGCAAAAAGGGTCACAGCACCAAACCCATGTGGTATGCCACTGGTCACAGACTTCCTGTGACAAAAACACTTTTTGACCATTATGTTCTGCATCCTGCCACGAAGCCAATTTTTGTTTCAATTTGCCAAATTGTCCTGAATCCCACGTGCTCTCAGCTCCTTAATCAGTCTGCCATGCAAAAAGCTTGTCAAAAGCCTTATCTGTTTTGATCACTAGGTAGGTAGACCTAAGAATTAAAATTAACATGTTACTATTCTTGCTGCAACTCCATGTCAATGATGACCCAAACAATCAGCATCCTTTTTTAAATATAGTTGTGGGGCATGAGCGTCACTGGCTGGCCAGCATTTCTTACCCATCCCTAGTTGCCCTTGAGAAGGTGGTGGTGAGCTGCCTTCTTGAACCACTGCAGTCCATATGCTATAGGTGACCCACAATGCCCTTAGGGAGGGAATTCCAGTGACAGTGAAGGAACGGTGATATATTTCCAAGATGGTCAGTGGCTTGAAGGAGACTTGCAGGTGGTGGTGCATGTATCTGCTGCACTTGTCCTACTAGATGGAAATAATCATATATGCTGTATAAAATTATGTTTTTTTTGTCAAGTCAGTACCTTGCATCCCAGGCCTGATCAGTGCCAGATAAAAAGCATTGACTTCTTGTGTCCTTTTAGCAATGTAGAAGATGTAAAAATATACTGTGCATTAATTTGCAAAATAATGTAAGAAACCACAGTGGTTCAACTAAATGGATTAGCTGTTTCAACGAGCCCAGAGAGTGGAATAGCCTTGTTTTCGCTTCAGGATTCAATGATTCCATTTAATTCTATTGGCACTGCTTCTATGTTTGTATAAGGTACACACTGGTGAAAAATGATTGTTTGTCAACAAAGCCACAGACTTACCATTCATTTCACCATAATTCCTGCTTTCTCCAGTCAAAACAGTTTCTGTCCTTTGCTGAGCATCAGCTATGTGAGACTAAATGAGAATTTCCAGGCATCTGATGGAGTCAGTAGGCACTTATGCCAGGATGTACCCACTATTATTTTCATATCCCGGCCTGCTCCCACAGGTGGGGCATAGTACTGACATTTAATAGTCAGTATGATGAAATGAAATGCTGCTGATCCTCTGCCAAATTCATCTGACAACTTAGAATTTTGGAATTTCCGGAATTGAGTGTTCCAGACTTCTTGGTTTCACTTGTAAAATTGAAGGTCTTACCTTTGAAACAGGCCTTTGCCTAATGTCTGGTTATCGAGGGCCACACACGAATGCATCAAATGGGCCATGAATGTTTGTCCGTCTAATGGCTGTGAGACACCGAGACCTTAGTTTCATTTTCATACCATCATAAATAAATAAATATGGTAGAACATCCATGCACTAGTTAATCACCACAGATTTAAAGGAAAATCTCTCACCAGTCTGTTCACATAGAAGACCCCCATAGAATGTCATTATTTTCGTGAATAATTCCAAGTACACCCAATAATGTAATCAAGGAAGATGTATAATCAATTCTGTCAAAAAGATGATCAAGGAAATATTTGAAAGAACAATTCCCATTTATTAACTCATCCTTAAAAAAATACTGTTATTTAAATTAAGTAAAATGTGATTTAATTTTTCTCTTCATAGGAGATTATGTCATAATGACAATATTCTTTGATCTAAGTAGAAGAATGGGGTACTTCACAATTCAGACCTACATACCTTGCTCACTTACAGTTGTCCTGTCATGGGTTTCGTTCTGGATTAATAAAGATGCTGTACCAGCGAGAACATCATTAGGTATGACTTGATTCCTAACAACTATCTGCTTCTTATCGTCAAAGTATTGAGCTATTTATGAAACATTGACATGAATAAATTTAAACTGTATTAATTTCTTACAAATGTTAAGAGACAAAAGGCCAGAAATGAGGTTCTTTAATGCCTGTTTTATAGGGCAAGTTCAGAAAGCAACCAGCACTCAACAACTACATGCTGTCGTTTGAAAGGATATCTGGAGGGCCTTTTCCTTTCCTGCAGATACAGAACATGCTTCCCATGTCTGCCACCAAACCCTCTAGTGCCAGATCCAAAATACTTGGAGCTCACCCTTTCCCAGATTAGATTCTCTTCGATTATGAATCCCATCATCTGCTGCAACCACAACCTGGCCCCAACCCCATCTTAAGCAGTGAAGGCTAGCTTCAAGTGGTGCTAGCCACTCGTGATATTGAACCTGGTCAATGCGAGTAGCCAATGAACAGCACAGTGAGTGTTCGCTGCACGCGGTAATCATGTACGCAACTGGAAGACTGCACTGTTTGCATTGCAGTCAGTGGGACCAAGCCATTGCTTATTGAGATTCCCGTGCCCATTTTTTGGGTTATTCAATTCAGTCTTTAAAGAATTTTTATTCCACCCAAAATGAATTTGGTTGAACAATAATTACAGCAGTGCAAGGTGAAAGTCATTTTCTTCGAAGAAACACATTGAGATTGAGAAAGCTCAAGTTGCTCATTTCTACTTACACTGGATGTGACTGGGAGCGTTAATATGACTGTCTTGTCATCAATTCAGAATTTGTTTATGAAATTGTTTAAGGAGGCAGACCTTAAGCATTGCTCAAATTGGTGCATAACTCAAATTTGAACAAAAGCAATATTTTCAAATTTAAATACTGAAGGTTGCAGGTTTACAAAAATGCCAAATACATGCATGTATGCTGTCTGGGACACGTTTCTCTTACCAAGATGGTTTGGAAGTATTTGGCTGCCATCTTGAAAATTTCCATTAGCTTGGGCCAAAGTTACAAATAAATCATAGAAACATAGAAAATAGGAACAGGATTAAGCCGTTTGATGCTTTGATCCTGCTGTGATGTTTAAAATGGTCATAGCTGTTCATCCAACTCAGTATCCTGTTCACGCTTTCTCCTCATACTTTTTGATATCTTTAGCCGTAAGAACTATATTGAACTCCTTCATTTAATTGAATATTTTGGCTTCAGAAGCAAGTACAACTCAAATTAGATACCTATTTTCTAATCTACCTGTTAAAAGATGTTTTACACACCCCTGAAGCAGGTGGAAATTGAATGTGTACCTTTTGGTTCAGAGGTAACCCCAAGTAGGACATTGCAATAACCACAATTATTTTCACATAGGCCTTATAAAGTGCCAAAGTCCAGGGCCAGGAGCTCAGGGATGACTACTTCTCGGGAAGAATTATGCTCCAATTCCTTTATTTTCCACTTGCTGCTCCTGGCTTGTGCCCAATCGAACAATTTATTTTGCTGAAAGCTACAGAAACAATAAAGGTGTGGTGAATAAAATGGAGGAGAAGCAATTTCTTTTGCATTTTCTTGGAAGTACTGTTTTAAGCAGTGTTTTAGCAAGCATCTTCACTTTCATGTAGCAAAACCTGTATAATAATTGAATGCTTTAAAATTCCAACTGCTTCATTGATAACTAACTTTATCTCTTAATCACCTTTCTGCCATGTCTCTTTCTCTCTCACTTCACTGTTTCTGTGCTTTTGGATTGCTTGACTGACATCCAGTCTCAAGCAATATCTTTCCGTAAGACAAGGTAAACATTTTTTTTCCGTAGAACCATAGAACCCCTACAGTGTGGATACAGGCCATTTGGCCCAACAGGTCCACACCGATAAGCCTCCAAAGAGCATCCCACGCAGAACCATCCCGCTACCTTATCCTTGTAACACTGCATTTCCCATGGCTAACCCACCTGGCCTGCACATCTTTGGACAGTGGGGGAACCAGAACAACCGGCAGAAACCCACACAGACACGGGGAGAATGTGCAAACTCCACACCTACATTCAACTGAGGGTGGAATCAAACCCGGATCCCTGGCGCTGTAAGGCAGCAGTGCTAACCACTGAGCCACCGTGCCACCCTAAAACCAACAAATGTGCTGGGGTGCAGAGAATCTGCACAATGTAGAAGCAGGTATTCAGCCCATCAAGTATCAACTGACCCTCCGATGAGCATTCTATCCTATCCCTATCCCTACCACCCTGAACTTCCCCTGGCTAATCCACTGAACCCGCATAGCATGCGACTGTGCTTGCAGGGACGTGGAGATCTGCCACCTTTTCCCTTCCTCAATTCCAGATTGAACAGAACACTGCCTCCTTTTGGAGTTTCCCCACTCCTCGCTGGTCAAGATCATGGAACTCCACATCTGTTTTCTGTCCTTCTATTCCTCATTGGTCGTAATCACATGAACCCTGCCTCCATGTCAGGAATCGAACCCTGGACCCTAGCTTTGTGATACAGTAATGCTGACCACTGAGCCACCAAGGACGTCCCCTGAAGTCTCTTCTTTTCAGTATCCTATTTTTTTTCATTCCCTTCTCCAGGTTGAATTGGACGATTGATCATCTTGATCTCCTATTTGACCCTAAGCTGACTATCTGATTCCATAGATAGTAGGAACTGCAGA